CTCGCACCTGATCATTTTCAGAAGAAGGGACTCATATTTATGTGCTGCAAATTCTCATTTAAAACCAAAATAAAGCACACATTACATTTTCACAACCAGCAGGTTTTTGTCTGTTTATTATATTCATTTGCACAGATGTATGTGAAAACTAATGGATCATGCACTCTATTATCCTACATATAATACCTCCAAAATCCAGAGATATAATGAGCCGCCTCTTTCATGTGTTGAGCTGAAGTGAGCCTTTGGAGGATTAACTTTGTGCTGCTTGGATAAATGATTTCCTCTTACAGATGAAAAGGAAATGAAAGTGGGTGGGGAGGAAAAAAAAAGACAGAACGGAAGAGTAAGAGCAGTTCAGAGGCAAAACGGAGAAAGAGTAAAGGGGTGAAAGCAAGATTAAATAAAAAGAACAGGACAGTGGACGAGAAGGAGGGGAAGGACATTCAGCAAAAATGAATGCAAGTAAAGAAGGAAGGATGTTATATTTAAAAAGCAAAATACAGTCAATCAGCGATCAGATTTTATTCATGCAGCAACATCACTGTGTGGAAATATCACAGTGTTGTGGGAAGTTTGCCGAATCTCTTGACAGATTTTCAAGTACCTGCTTTTCTTCTCTACCCCTCCAGGTTTAACATTTGTAGTTTCTAGTGAAGTTACTGAGAAAAATCGATTATACATTCATCGAATGCTATAACACAAATATCTGAAAATATGACTTTTCCAAATATTTAAATGAAGACAGGATTTGCTTGTATTGCAGGCTTTTTTTAATGATTTGCACATTGATATTAGCACATAGCTTAAATTTGCCCTATTCCCATAAAACCTCAGTCATGCAGGCCTAGAGACCAGTTATTGACCCTTTATGAGAAATTAGAAATATATTACATATAATCATTGTACTACAAGTACTCTACCCAGATCATGCTAAATGCTAAACTTTCTGTTATGACAACATATTTCTCATAACAGCATTTTAAATCAAGATATCCCATATAAATGGATCATGACTTGATTGGAAGAAGCAAAAGTAATAGATTTTCATCTGATTTTTTCAATATCAGGAAACCAATATAGCACCATGTGTAATAAACATAAACAATTATAGTAGTGCATATGTGGAGATTTTTTGCTCATAAGGGGAAAACACTTCCAATTAGACCCTCAGATAAGATCTAATGTCTCTGATTGGGTTAGACGGCAAGCAAGAGCTTCATATCCTGTAACTGTAACCAAATTGGTGTGACTGTTTTGTGGTTGTTGCTGTTGTCTGCGTATTTGTAGGTGTCTTTATAAAGAAGACACATATTTTTCAGCAGTTAAACAAATATATACATAGAAAAATTCCAGTATGAACCGCACAGTTCTCATTCCAAGCTGATAAAATAATGCTGACTGTCAAAGCTGCTTTATGTCTCAGTTTCATACAAGGTGTCCTTTATGGCTTTACTGAGATGAAGCCGTCTCTCTGAACACCTCGTTTTTTAACTAAGATTATTGTGGTATAATTTACCCAAGCGTTAATAAATGAGTGGTTATTAGTGCCTAGTGCCAGGTGAAAGAAAAAGCAAAATGCCAGTGAAAAAGCAGCTGAACAGTAGGCTGGAAAAAAGCTAAACCAAGTGCAAAACAAATGGCTAAAAGGGAGACAAATCATGGCTGCTGCCATCCCTACAGCCTCTTTAAGCAAACTTTTTAGCTCCCTATAATCGGGCTAAAATCTCTCAGCTGCCAAAATTACTGTAACCAGTGTGTCAAGACACCTTGCTGTACATAACGGTGAGACACAGGAAGCATCTGTGCTTTTCAGTTCTAAGTAAGAGTAGAAACATGCTAGTACCAGTCCATTTAATTTGTGCCATGTAAGTAGCCCTGGTTTTACTTACATGGCACAAAGCTGGGAAGCCAACTGCTCACAGACATGGAGCTGCACATACAGACAAAAAATACTTTAGGGAAGGTTTTTCCTGCAGGGGACACACGAATCACTTTCGAGAGATTTTCTTTTCTTCCAGACGTTACCGTTTGTCGGGGGAATCTTCTCATTTATTCCCTTATTATGATCATTTTGAGTTTCACTGTAGCAACTGCGAGAATATAATCTCATTATTACAGAGAAAAACATTCACAGAAATGTGTTCATTTCACAGTATGAACTCACCACGGCACATAACGTGTTCAAGATAACAGAGGAAATGGAAACCAGTACGCACGCCACCACGATCAGATCAAGAAGAATGTATGAAAGAACACATGTAACCAAATCTGTAATTGACTGAACAGATCTGAGTGCTGCAGAGTGGAGTGTGGGGATTTGTATGATCAAATGGGGGGGGGGGGGTGTCTAAATATAGGATACTGCTGCATGATTTCCTCCGCTAGGCCTGGGATTCACCCAGCTGAGAAAGAAAGAGGACAGGAAAGGAAAGGAAAGCTAGGGCCACACATTACAAGACAGATACAAGGAGAGATGTAAGCTTAGTCACATGGCTCTGCATCCATCCCCATCCATTACAACACAGTGGAGTGCCAGCAGCACAGTAATCTCTGAGGATCTGTCTATTAATGCTGGCCAGTGAACAATCTGTCTATGGTCTCACCATGCTATGAGTTGTAGTAATCAGCATCTTCGGCAGGTCTGTCAGAATGAAATCTCATATAATCCTGGCCAGGCTTAATTCCGACTTTTGGCAACTGAGGATGATTTTCTGCCAAACAAACATGTCTTTAAGTGTTTTTTCACAATACTGTTGTCCACTGTTTTCTGATATATGTCTCGTTTTTGGGGCTTTTCCCCCCCATTTTTTGTTTTTCCCTATTAATAGTTAGTAAGTAACTCATGTGTGTTTCATCTTTAATGATAGAAACCCTATTTTTGTAGTGGGGTTTGCAATGCAGTTTCATAAGAAATTCAAGCTCTGGTGCAACCAGGTGCCACTCAACTGTGATCAAAATGCAAATTTTCACAGATCAATACATGTTGTGTAATTCATGATCCAGTTGAAAGCAGCAGAAATTTTGAAGATTCAACAGCACAGAGTTACACATATTAACACAATTCGTTTATGTAATACACCAAATTTAAAAAAAAAAAAAAAAGTCTTATTCAGCAGCTGGTGATAATAGACTCATCAACCAGGTCAAGGTTTTGTATGGGCTTTTTATGTGGGAGACAGAAAGCGGCAGAATAAAAGAGTTTATTCATTTTTTCTTCATATTATGTGCCTGTGGAACTTTTTTTGAAATTGATGCTGATAATGTATTTTAGAGTTGTTTTAATCTAGCGTAACAGAAACCCAGCCTTTTTAAGTTTGTGAAGCTTTAGAATTGAACAATTAAGGCCTTTAACTTACTGGTTGTCTTTTTTTCATTGTAACCTTCATTTTAAGATTTTATATATAATACAACATGACAAAAAAAAAAGCTTTAGCTTTAAATAACTTTAAGATGGTCTCACATTTGATCCTACAATACTTTGGTATACAATAGAGTTCTGATATTTAAAAGTAAGTAATATTGTGTATTTACTTTTTACCATGTTGGACATTAATTTCTCATTTTTCCTTTTATGGAGAAGATGGAGTTTTTTATGATGTGCAGAAGTACTAAAGGCAAAATAGTAAGTTCACTTAGTCTACTATAAAAATAAGATCAGGTACAACCAGTGACTGTAGAAAACAATCTTTTATACAGTCATTGGGTACAACCAAAAAGTATACTTACTGAAGAAAAGTGGATTAGAATTAAATAACCTTAAATGTTCTTTCATTTTAAAGCGCCATCTCTGCACTTGCCCAAATGCAATATATCGTATTATTTTATTTGTTATCTTTTTTTTCCTACATCTATCTCTATGGTTTAGCGCCACAATAGACTGGCCACCTCTCCACGGTGTCCAACCTGTCTGCGTCCCTGAAGTGAAAATTTAAGAAAATGGATCGATGAATTTTATTTTGTTTGATAGTCAGTTTCTTAGAAATCATAGATATCTAAAGAACAAAAAGGCCCACATGCAGTATACATCTTTCTGTAAGGCAGGTATGAGAAACCCGTTTTTATACTGTGGGCCACAACAGCCCGCTTTGATTTAATTTATATAGCACCAAATCACAACCGTCACTCCCATTCTGTCGGTATAAGGAGGTTTAACTGCACATTTAATTATTTGAAGATATCATGGTATAAGTATATATCTGTCAGCATGACTTGGGTTTAAGTTGTGGGAAATAAATGTGTAAGCTCACACTCAAAACCATGCAGTGGACAAGACTGGAGTCTTTCCGTTGCTAATTCTGGCCCCTGGGCCTTATGTTTGACACACCTACTGTAAAGGTGTTTGAGATGGTTAACTTAATCTACAGCAGTGTACGGGAGTGGCTGTACCTCAGGTGGTAGAGCAGGTCAGCTGCTAACCGGTTGGTGGTTCGATCCCAGGCTCCACCAGTCTGCATGCCAAATATCCTCGGGCAAGATACTAACCCCATGTTGCTCTCTGATGCATCCATCGGAGCGTGAATGTGTATGAATGTTAGATAGTAAGCACATAACAATTTAGAAAAAGTGTTTGTGTGATTGGGTGAATGAATTAGTTGTATAAAGCGCTTTGAGTGCTCAGAGTAGAAAAGCGCTATATAAAAACCGGTCCATATACGACGGAAAAAATACCATGGAGAAAAAGGAAGTGTACATTCAACAAAATTGCATTTATATACATTTTGGCCTGTTTTGTATTTCCGATGCTTTTTTTCCCCTTTTATTTATATAGTTCTGCTCCAAATATATAGTTTCCAAATGCAAAAACAAAAGTGAAAGATTATGCAGAAGAGAATCAGTCAAAATCAAATCAGTGGGTCTTCTAGTTACAAGCAGACCTGTCACGTTTTCATTTGTGGAATAGAAAGGCTGTGAGTGACATCCAGTGGCTTGTCATAGACTCCAGCCTGTTGTAGAAGGACCCACCAATCAGCAGGAGGCGCTGTCACCATCCACATCTGTTCTTCTGCCGCTAACTTCCTCTCTTGGCTCCACTCTTTATCTTTTTCTGCTCGCTCGGGTTTTCTTTCTCTTCCGGTTGTCGTCTGTTCGTGTGGCAGGTATCTATTTTCCCCAACTCGGGGACTCTTAAAAAATCCTCATCAATCTGAGTGTATTTCATATGTTTGCAAAGAAACAGACAGTGATTTAGATGAGGGGCTTTCTTAATGATGGATCCATGGCAGTATTGTTTAGATGGGATCCCAAATAAAGCCTGAAAATGACGTTCAAGGCGTGTTAACGCTCTGTGTAGCAGAGCTGTAGTTTCGCAGTAGCTTCCGACCACCAGGCAGTCTTTCTAAGCACAGCCCAGCCGCACAGTCATTTTTTAAAATTATTATTTATTTCATGTGTAGTTTTATATCATAATTCTGTTGCTACCCAGAATTTTTTCCGACGGACACAGCTGGTTGAAATGAATGAAGCATCGTTAGCCACCTGATGCTAATCCAATCCCAGTTAATACTGATGATAACTACAGATTAAGGTCTGATGCGCATTTCTCCCTCATTTTCTCTACTTTTAGATTAACCAGCGTCGAAATGGCCAAGTCTAAGAACCACACAACCCACAACCAGTGTAAGTAACTGCTGAAGTAACTGTAAAGTCGTTTTACCGAGATGTGGTGCTGTTGCGTTAGCTTTGAGGTTTAGCTACTTGCCTGTAGTTAAATATTGCAAAGCTAGCTGCTTTGTATTAATTGTCGCTCCTTTTTATTTGAACAGCTCGGAAACACCACAGGAATGGCATCAAGAAGCCACGATCACAGCGATATGAATCTCTGAAGGGGGTGCGTACTGTTACAATTTTACATGTTTGTATCTTTGAAAAAAACAAAAGCAAAACGGGTTTTGTGAACATGATCTGCAAGGCAAGCATGCAGCTCATGGTCAAATCCTCTGTAGTAAAGTGTGCTTTGTATAACTTTTGTAATGAAGTGAGTGGATGTTATTGCCTTAAAATGTAATATGGAGTATTTCTAAATTTAAAACGTTGCATTGGCGCTTGCTTGCAGCAGCATTTACAGTTACAGCGTTTTCTGTCAGCCTTTTCCAGTGTGCTACTGTTACTAGTGACTTTCTAATTTGGAGAATGAATATTTTGAAAGAAAACGACAGCAATAGTATTGATAGCATTATATGCAGTGACATAATTTCAATGTGTGGACAAAAGTAGCCCAGGCAGTGTTTTCCCTGACAATTTCCTGTGAAATTATAAAATGGCTGTTTAACAAATGGTAACTCATCAGGTGTTGTACATCTGGTCAAGCTTTTTAAAGAGTAGTTTAAAGCCCTGTTTTTCCGAAATGTAATCACAATTGTAACTACTTACATCCATCATTTGTTCTTCCTAGAGTTGAGGTATTTATTTACATTTGGATCGCAGATCAGCAGCAGTTGGCTAGCTTGATTTGATTCAATAGTGCTTTTGCATGAAGTAGCAAATACCAATCAAAAGGACCGAAACTGTGAAGCAAGCTTTTTTTTCTATGTTTAGTTGGAATAGTTTTTTGCGTATTTAAGTACTGGACCCTTATTAATTAAAGTTATTAATTAATTAAAGTTATTAATTTATTTATTTTCAAGTTGTTGAAGTAATTCCCTTTGGTAACAAATCATCTCTGGAGCGTGACAAGTGGTTCATGCTCTAAGACAGGCCCTACCTAGTCTCCTTGAGGTTTCTTCCTGTTGAAAGGAAGTTTTTCTTTAGCAGTTTTGCCCAGTGCTTGCTCATAGGGTGTTTGTTGGGACAGTAGGGCCTTTACCTTGCAATATAAATTACCTTCAGGTGACTATTGTTCTGATTTTTGGAAATCCAAGTAAAACAAACATATTGAATTGAAGTATTAGCAACGTAAAGACACACCTTTGCTACAGCTGTGGGCTCGAATCATCAGAATGTGCATTCATCAATTATTTAGCTACCGCCCACCCAAGCTAATTTATTAATTCCTTAAAATGGTTGCGTTCTGGATTGATGATTAATTCAGAGACCTGCTCCCAATCAGGCATAAACACAGTGACATGACAGGCAGGTTGGTTTGAAATTATATAGATAGGCCAGTTAATTGTCATATTTATTTACTTTTTTTTTTTTTTTTTTTTTACATTAAAGAAATTGGATCACTGCTGAAAGACCTCCTGGTTATTATTATAATCTGGTTATTAAAGTGTGTGTGTGAATGTGCAGAGTAACAGAGAGGTCCTTGGTAATTTTGGATTGTTGGATTAGGTAAGGTTTAGGTTTATCAAAGTTTCATTTAGGTTAGCACTGTTTTAATACATGATACAAAGCTGCTAACATTACTCTGTCTGCCCAAAGCTCTCGCTAACCTGTTAAAATGAAATAATTATTTTTGCATTGTGTTATTAAAGTTTATTTTGCTTCGAAGAAAACTTTCTGAACTTTCAGTTCAGTGAACCTGCTAACTACTTGTTTACTTTGTTGCAGGTGGACCCCAAGTTCCTGAGGAATATGCGCTTTGCTAAGAAGCACAACAAGAAGGGCTTGAAGGCAGCACGGAAGGCCGCTATGGAGAAATAAGCAGCTAGCCCATCACCTCATGTCTGTCAGAGTCCATTTTGTGTTACCATCATCAAAATAAAGCTATGCTTTGTTAACACACCAACATCTGATTGTTCTTTATTGAGGTTCCTGCTTCTCTCTGGTTTTATAGAATAAATTATGTTATTGGTTATTAAGGGTTTATTTCTTTCTAATGTGTCTCTAGTTTGTTCATCGAAACTGAAAGTATGTAGAAAACTGGATAATGGTTGAGTTTGAAATATTGCAAAGATTGGGGGGGGGATGGTTTTAATCAGGATAGATGAAGTTTGATTGCACAACCTCAATAGAAATAAGAACTTTCTCTAGATTTCTAAAATCACTAACAAGCTGTGACAGAAATATATTCTAATAAGGAAGGGAGTTGAATAAATCAAGTTGACTTCTAGCATCTTTTTTCCCCTTTCCTTAATCCCATGCAAAGATTTGAAACACCATGAATGGAAGTCATGAAAGTGTGATATTACCATGTGAAAACACAATCATTGCACAGGTGTTATCACATGGGTAATAACTAAAACAATTCAACACCAGGAAGTGAAGTGATGGACCTCCTTGCTGCCAGAAAAGCTTCACCTGTCTTGACAATGATATTTACTCATTTCGTGTTTTGATGATGTTGTCAGTCTTTAACATATGGCTGCCCACTGCTTCACTGAGTGAATGGGTTAAATGCAGAGAGGAATTTCCCCACGGGGATCAATAAAGTACACTTTCTTCTTCTTTCTTTCATATTAGACCCAAACCGCCCATACAGTGGGGCTGAGATCTGATGACTTATAGCATTTTCACATCTTTTGTGCCCTATCCATGGCAGAGAATTGTTATTCCACAAAAAAACCTGTAGAGGTGGAGTCAACTAGAGCAAATACCCCCCCATAAAAAAAAATGCATAGAGGCTGAACATATAGTGTATAGTGTTTGTATCTTAGGAAGTAAGTTTACTGAAAATATAGGGTAGTCAAAATGTTTAAGTTTTTTTTAATTGAAAAAAAAAGTTTAAAACTTGTGGTCGATTTTTAAACCTTTAGTAGATGGCATATAGTCATAGTAATGAACAGAATAAAATATAAAAAGAAAGAACCAAAGTGGGAACAAAATATAATTTAGTCGTAGTAAAAGTTAGTTAGTAAAACAAGTAGATTAATAGTGTTTTTTAAAAACACGAATTTCGTTATTTAAAAAACAAATCACTGAATTTGAAGATAAGATTAGGAGATGTTTTTGTGGAGTTTTGTTTTTGTTTTGTTGTTCTTGTCTATGTAATTTAGCGTTTTATTTTTATTTTCATGCAACAACGTTGTTTGCCGTCCATTAGTCGTCACTTCCGCTCACGCTCTGACTCCAGCTTGCATCATTTCTCGTGTCTTGTCAGCCGGGTTCGGACAGCATGTGAGTACCTGCATTCAAACTTAGTAATGGCCTTAATATGAAGGTTTGGTCGCAGCAACACTGCGCTGTACGGCTGTCAGTGTGAGTGAGCGACTGAACGTAATTTTTAATAAACTTTGCGTTTCCTTCAGCTACAAGCTAACTAACTCAAGCGCCGACTTACTAGCTTAACCTTCCAGCTAACAACAAGGAGGCGTCATTTCTCGGATGCGAACTGACTGCTGTGGAAAATTGATTTATCAGATTTAATTATCACTTTGGTCAAATTTAGAGTGATTATATGTCGGAGGTAGAAATAACATATATCTAGGTTTGACTTCAGGGTTAAACATGATTCCTAAAAAAAGGGACAGCATGTTTTGCTAAGAAAGTATTGAGCTCTGACAGGTTTTTGGCACATCAAAGAATGAGAGTCAGAGTTATTATAATTTTTTAGGTTTTGCATTTAGTTTACAAATTGGTTTTGCCAGTTTCAGTTTATTGTTTGAAAATGTGCTCGGTTTTAGTCCTTTTAGTTAGGGAAGTCAGTACAGGGTTACAATAAAATACAGAAGTCTGTGAGAGAAGTTAACTCACAGTGTTGCATACCTCCAAAGTCTCAATAAACATGACTCATCAGGCAAATTGTGATTATTATTATTATTATTTTCTTTTTTTTTACTAATCTAACAAATACTAAAACTACTGTAGTTTTGTGTTATTATTTTTGTTAACTTTTTTTTTTCGCATGCAGCTTTAGATTTTAGTTTTATTTTTAGTTAAGAACCTTTATCAGAGGAGCGTGAAAGGCATTCATTTAGAAAATATGCTTACAGGTAGTTTCGTTAGGCGTTGGCTCTGTTTAGTTATTTGATCAGAAACTTTTGCGTAGTGGAGTCTAAAAGTTTTTACCTTGAAAGTGAGATTTAATTATTCACTTTTATAAAATAGGCATAACTAGGGATATTTTAATAGGTGATTCTTTATAGTTCTAGTTTGTTAATGCATTAAAAAAAATTGTGCATGTGATGATCTTGGCAGGAAGTACAAACTATAATTCCTGTTCTGTGAGTGTAACATTTGAGTTTTGTTTGTCCTCACAGACGCAATGGTGGAGCGGGTTCCTGAAAACATTAACTTTCCCTCTGAAGAGGAGAAGATTATAAACTTTTGGAATGAAAAGGACTGCTTCCAGGAATGCCTCAAACAGTCCAAGAACAGACCCAGGTAAGTCCAGTTGCAAATTTCCATGTTCTTCTTGTATCTGTATGGGTTTTCTCTAGGTGCTCCCATTTCCTAACGAACAAAACATATTTACACACAAGCTGTGAATAACCTAAGATAATACTGAAATTTGGTTGAAGTGTGTTTAGATTAAGTTAGCTTTTTGCTTGGAATGTGTTGGTTCGGACAATCTCCAGTATAAACGTCTAAAAATCCACCATTTATTATAACTTATTGTAAAACACTTACGAACAGTTCTTTTAAATGTAATAGTCATAGTATAGTCAATATATGACTTATAGCTGCTAACAATCTGTATTTGAGCAGACATAATTTTGTTGTATCGCTTTAATGCTGGGTGTTTTATAAGGATTGGTTTTAAGCGTTCTGGCAGCTGGTAATAGCCAGAGAAAATAGTTGTATTTCCTGATTGTCCAGTTTTATTTCTTACCAGTGTCTGAGTCATGTGAGGTCCATTGGAAAAAACAAGGTAGCTATGAAAAGTGTGTATGGTGTATGGTAGTATAATATCAGAAAGCACAAATACTGTGTTATCATTGCGTCACAGCTATGATGTTCTAGATTCAAACCTGATTATCAGCTGGGCCTTTTCTGTTAGAAATTTGCATATTCTTCTTGTATCTGTATGTTTGTTTGTTTTTTTTTGTTTGTTTGTTTGTTTTTGGAGTCAGCTCCAGCCCCTCGTTGACCTTGACTGGATAAGTGGTTAAGAAAATAACCTGTTGTTTACCTCAGGTTAAAACTTGGCTCTCAAAAAAAGTGTAATGAAAGTCAAAGTGAAAGTAAAGTGTTACACTTTCCATTATTCTTTCATAGCTTAGGATCATATCTGTGTTATTTTCATATTCATTCTTTAAATTTGACTTGCAGATCAAATCAGGAAGCTTTTCTCAATCTACACTCTTAACTAAAGTTAAAACATTTATTTTCATCAGCAACTGTGAGAAGGTTATTTATGCTTTAATTACATGGAGACTGGATTACTGTAATTCATTATATATTGAATTGAGTAAAAACACTAATATCACAGTTGTTATTACTGGTGTGTCAAAGTGCAGCTCCTAGACTCCTGACTGGTACCTGGAAGGATGATCATATTTTGCCTGTTTTTAAATCGTTACACTGGCTTTTTGTGAAAATATTATTACTCATATATAAGTGATTGTAAGAAAATGATCCAGGTTATGACCCATGTCGTTCACTTAGATATCTCACTCAGATATCCTGTGTCCCACATTGCTCACTCCAGCGATAAGCAGATTTTAGTAATTGCAAATTCCTTATTGTCTCATATTCCTGACCGGAGATTGTCTCATACAGCCCAAGTCCAAAACTCTGGAATTGGGTCATCTACCTACTAATAGTATTTAAATACCAGCTGAAATCATACCTCTTTTTAATAGCTTTCTCAGATTCTGACTTACAGTGTCATTCTCCCTAATGTGTCTCTCTTATTATTTTATGATTTATTATTCTCTAAATATTAAAACTTTGTGCCTTTTCATTTGATTATTTTTATTGGTCTTAAATGATTTGTTTTTCTTTTAAGTATTGATAGATTTATTTGCTGTGTGCTGTATAAATAAATATATAGCATGTTGCGAGTTTGTTTTACCAGTTAACAAAAATGCTGTTCCACATAGAAGTATTCAAGATTTGCATTTGCTACCTATCTCTCAAACCAGGTACACCTTCTACGATGGACCTCCCTTTGCTACTGGTCTACCCCACTATGGTCACATCTTAGCTGGTACCATCAAGGACATTGTTACTCGCTTTTACCACCAGAGTGGCTTCTATGTGGACCGGCGCTTTGGATGGGACTGTCATGGCCTACCTGTGGTAAGAATTTGCCATAGCTGTCTTTTTAATGTTTCAATTCAATGTTACAATGTGGTCTGTTAATATTTAGTATTTGTCAAATCCTGTGTGTTTTATGTAGGAGTATGAGATTGATAAGACTTTGGGGATCAAAGGACCAGAAGATGTGGCCAAAATGGGCATTGCTGAGTACAACAAGCAATGCCGAAGCATTGTAATGAGATACTCCAACGAGTGGGAGGTGAGTCCAGTGTATCTGACTAAGAGCAAAACACAGTTTACACTAAATAGTTGGGCTAGGTTCATGTTGAATGTTGTGGTGAATTCCTTGCCATTTGTAAGCCTGCATAACGAGTGACCTTCTAAAGTAGTTGTAAATATGTGTTACCTCTAAATTCATATCATAAAAATCTATAACAAATCGCCCTGCATATATTTACCATGGTAATTTGTTCTTTTCATTTTCACGTGCGTTTGTAATTGTATCTAGGCTTCAGTAAAGCGAATGGGACGATGGATTGACTTCCAAAATGACTACAAGACCCTTTACCCATGGTTCATGGAGACTGTCTGGTATGTATGTAAAAAGGGGAAAAAATGCACGTTTTTATAAAGACTTGTTTTGAC